CCCCCCCCGCACCCCCGCCGACGCCCGGTCAAGCCAGCCGCAACCGTGGCGGTCAATCATCAGCAATCATCAGCAATCATCAGAGGGCGATGGTTCAGTGTTTTTATGGCAACTGGCACAAGCCAACCGTCAAATACCTAGGTATGGAACAACCCCGAGGGACTACAAAGCACTTGAGCGCGCTAGATGGAAGAAGCCTGGATGACATCAATTGATGCCAGCATTTGAACGTTGGAACGTGAAAGCGTCCATGTCGAGAGACCCAGCAGGCGACTAACTACCTGGTGCTCTCCTTGACAGCGTGCGCGCCGAGTACTTCACAAGGATGCCGACCATTGCAGTCTACATAATATCCAATTGACGCCAATAGGATACAGGGCCAAATACCCTATCTTTGCTGCTCAAGTGTGACCCGTTCCCCCGCGTCGGGATGCAATCGGACCGTCGTGGTGAGAAGCTGGTGTGCGAGATGGCACCATCATTTGGTTTGGCCGCCCCCAGAATCATGCAGCCACTCACATGTTTGGTCGCATGTTTCATCACCTGCTGATGTCCTGGCAAGGGTTTGTTTATAAAGCCATGGCAGACTCGAGACATGAATGGTCATGGACTCATGACTACCCAAGTAATCATTGTTGGCGAGCTGCTGAGAAATAGCAGGTGACAGGCCAAGGCACATGCAGAGTTGCTTGACAGTTGTACAAAAGCTGCATAGACGAAGGGGGCCATGTCGTGCCAATAGCTACAGATCGAGCACCGTCTGCATTTAACTTATCAAATGGTTGCAATCCAGGTTGCTAGCTTATCATCAGCCAATCCTCTCTCGTGGGGGCAAAGCTCAGTCTCGCTGCATCTTTGTGCTGATGCGACGGGGCGCCGCAACGAAGCACCACGTAGGTATAGGCCTTTGCGCTGCTGGACATCATAAGCCAGTATGCCGATTGACATGCTGCATGTGCACCGAGTGCAAAGGGAAGTCGAGAGTGTATGTATGGTGTGACTTGAATGAAAGCGGTCCTCCGTATACAGTCTCCTCAGGACCCGTCCGCTGTGATGGATTTCAGAGCAATGGCGAAGTGAAACAGTGACTCATCAAAATGTCCAGTTCCAGCACAGTGCTCTCGGCGTTGCTAGACAGGGACATTTGAATTTTGGACTCTCGAGGATTAGCGAGCTGCCAGTATTATTTCTTGACTGTGAATTGGCTTGTAAGGGTCCTGTTCACCTCGCAACACGCTTACTAATTGAGTCTCCGCAAGCCACTTCACAGTCAAAGAGATTACGTCGATATTAAAGAGACCAACATTGGCCCGACGTCCGGACACCAGGACAGGGCCAGGGGCCAGGGTCCAGGGTCCAGGAGAGGGCCCTGAGCTCGACATTTGCTAGACTGCTGTGGGCCTCTTGATAGCATTCAGTTCGGTTCGACAAGCGTCAACTGGGTACCTAGGTACCTGCGTACGGAGTAGTCAGGTCAATCTAACCCGTTGTCGGTCCCCTCACCAGGCTCCGGTCTCTGGCTCTTCTCACTTTCAATCACCCCGACGACGGTCATCCTCTGCCACCACCACACCAACACCTTTTCGACTGAGGCTCAATTGACGCGGTCAGCCGATGCAACGACACGGCTATTGCGAGGCCTCTATTTCCATCCTTCTCAGTCCGAGACACGCCATTAATCACTTGGCTTTGTAACTCCCCTCTGCTGGCCTTGCCGCCCCGTTCCTCGCCTTCGTCCGTGCTGTTCACTGATAAGCAGACAACACCTGGCACGAGACACAATAAGAAACCCGCGCCACCAAATACTCAACATATCCGCATCCTGCTAATAACTTCGCCGACGAAATGTCTTTACCTAAGGACACTCCCAATCTGGACCCGGGGCTGTCATCGCCGTTTCCTGGCCAGCCTCGGTCCTTCTCTTCTTCTCTTCCTCGAGAGGAGCTGACTGCTCGTCTTGCTGAGCCCGTTCTCCCAACGCCGCCACCTGTTCGAGGAGCTTCCCCCGTTCCCGGAGGTGATGCAGTAACAGCGGCCGAAGCTCCATTCACCGGGGGAAGCTCTACTCAAGGCCCCGGCGTTTCTGCCTTGGCCGCCGCTCTTTCAAACTCTCTGGGACAGTCACCACCCCGTCACGGTACGCCTGCGGCTCGAATCAACTCTCCTCCTCCGCAATCACAATCTCCCACCTTTCCCGCTCGAGCAGACACGCCTACGCAGTATGGCTCCTTTGAATCAAGGTCCCGCTTCGGTCCCGGTTCCACCACTGGTCCATATGAAGACCATGAAATCATAAAGCGACACTTGGTGCAGCCTAGTGATGCCGAGAACCCTACCTCAGGAGAGTCGTCTCCTATGGGAACAATCAAGGGCAAGCAACCCACAGACGTTGGGGTGGCCAAGGTCAATGAAGAAGAATTCTCCAGTTTACAGCTACAGGGTGGTGACGTTACCCGCGGTATTTACAAGTGGACGGAGCAGGCAGAAGCAAAAAGCAAGCTCAATCGCAGCAAAAGTTACGACCATGTACGACCTGAACCCGAGGAGGAAGTCACGGATATTAGCGCTATCAAGGTTCCTGGCGGATTCAGACGTGATCACCTACGAAGGCGAGCTTTCAGTCCGAGCGGACAACATGCCGAGCTGGGTAGCAGTGGAGTCGGCTCTCCCGGAACGCTTGACCAACCTAGGCTGTTCACGTCGAGTTTCCTCGAATTCCTGTCTATTTACGGCCACTTTGCTGGTGAGGAACTTGAGGAAGATGATGAGAACTTGGGACCAAACGAGATTTGGGACTCTGGAGAAGATCGCGGCAGCGGAGATGAGGAACCGACCGAAGACAGCGCTCTATTGGGCAAGAAGAAGCGGAAGAGAAAAGCCCGCGGTGGCAGCGGCAAAAACAGTCCCATGAATGCCGCATTGCTGTTACTAAAGTCTTTTGTCGGCACAGGTGTCCTGTTTCTGCCTCGAGCTTACCTCAACGGCGGAATGCTCTTCAGTAATCTTGTATTGTTGTTTGTGAGCATTCTTAGCTACTATTGTTTTGTTCTCTTGGTGACGACACGGCTCAACGTCGAAGGCTCGTTTGGCGACATGGGCGGCATACTGTACGGCAAGTGGATGCGCGGTCTGATTTTGGGCTCCATTGTCATCAGCCAGATAGGTTTCGTGGCCGCTTATACTGTTTTTACTGCCCAGAACCTGCAGGCTTTTATCCATGCGGTATCCGACTGCAAGGCGTCAATCACCATCCCGTTGCTTATTCTCACGCAGACGGCCATATTCCTTCCTTTCTCTCTTCTACGTGACATCGGAAAGCTGGGGTTCACGGCTCTCATCGCTGATGCCTTCATCATGGTTGGTTTGGCGTACCTCTTTTACTACGACGTCATTACCCTCAACGCAAATGGTCTGGCAGACATCATCATGTTTAACCAAAAAGACTGGACCCTGTTTATTGGAACCGCCATATTTACTTTTGAGGGCATCGGTCTTATCATTCCTATCCAGGAATCGATGAAGCATCCCACAAAGTTTCCTCGCGTCCTCTTCCTCGTCATGATTATCATTACAGTTCTTTTCACGGTCATGGGGGCTGTTTCATATGCCGCGTATGGATCCAAGACCGAAACCGTTGTTCTGCTCAACCTACCACAGGACGACAAGTTTGTCAATGGAGTACAGTTGCTGTACTCTTGTGCCATTCTGCTCTCAACGCCACTGCAGATCTTCCCTGCTATTCGTATCATCGAGACGGAGCTGTTCACCCGTAGCGGCAAGTACAATCCTTGGATCAAGTGGAAGAAGAATGTGTTCCGATTTTTCATGGTGATGCTCTGCTCTGCAATTGCCTGGGGAGGTGCTAACCACCTCGACAAGTTTGTCGCCCTCGTTGGCAACTTTGCCTGTATTCCGCTGGTATACATTTATCCTGTGAGTTAATTTTCCCCATAAACAACGTTTCTTTACGCCAGTATTAATGCCAAGTAGCCCCTTTTGCATTACAAGGCCGTTGCTCGAACCCGGTGGTGGAGAATTTCCGATATTGTTTTATGCATCTTTGGTTTGGTCGCAATGGCATACACGACTGCACTCACTATTATGAGCTGGGCAGCTTCTGCAGCTCCAAGACCAGGATACTGTGACCGAAAGGGTCCGTAGACTCACAGTGTACGGACACTGCAGGCAAAAGATGGCGTTTACCTTGGCATTTGTGATGAGGACTTTTGAGTATAGGAAACTTCGTGACCTTTTTGGACAGATTGCATACAGAGCCCGTGATGGTTAGAATTGCATGGTAGATTCGAATAGACATTCAAGACATGCGGCTCAGGGCCGGAATTCAATGCGTTTTCGCGACATCCCCTGGTGCGTTGCCTGTGGGCCGTGGAGAATGACAACACACAGTGGAGACAATCTGTATCAATCAACCTCTGGGATGCTCGGAGACCGAGCTGACCACTGCTGACAATCATATAACTTCACTCTCGTCGACCTTCAATTTCACAAATGTCCCCAAACACTTCGAGCAAGCCATCATGTCAACTCCCATGGCGTTGCGCTCTCCCGCTCGTCTAACGCGTCACGCCAGCCTCTGGATCACCCGATCATTTGCGACGCGGCAACCTCCTCCGTTCCCTACAGTGTCGTCTTGTCCATCTCCAACATGTGGGTGCGCTGCTACGCCTGCCATGCCTGAGGGTTTAGACATTGATCTCAAGAGTAACTTGAATGGAGTGATTTCGGGGTATGCGGAACAAGTGCTCGTTTGTACGGGCCGTGATGACTGGACGTCGAGGATAGAGGGTGAGTGTGACGGGGATAATTTGGCGGCTGATTTGAAGGAATTGTTTGGTAGGGGAGGGAGGTATAGTGACGTGAGTGTCTTTTTCTCTTGTCTTCACTGCTCGTTTACATTGTCCTTGTCAATCTTTCTTGTCTACTTGGACTTCTTTCTGCGTCGTGAACGCTAATAAATACAGCCCTTCCACAACATATCCGTCATCAACTCCTCCTTCCCATCATCCATACCTCCTCGCTCCGAACTTCATTCCACATCAGCCTACCTCCTGCCCTCATTCAAGTACATCCCCTTCCTGCCCCGGATCTCCTTTGACAGCGTCGAAGCCCTCGCAAAGGGGTTCTTGCTCCCGGAGAAGCTGCACTCTGCCCACGATGGCCTGTCCCCCGTCCACCGGGACAGACTGACGCGCAAAGAGGCATACCAGGGCCTGTTGCCGGGCGTCCAAGACGTCAAGGATGTGCTGGTTCTCATCTGCGGTCATGGGGGACGAGACGCCAGATGCGGCATCATGGGGCCGGTCTTGAGGGACGAGTTTGAACAGAAACTTGCACTACGGGACTTCAACGTCGTCGCTGCCCCGGTGGAGGTGAATCTCGCCATTGAAAATACAGAGAGGATAGGGGGTACCGTTCCAGGGAAAAGCATCGCTAGAGTGGGATTGATCAGCCATATTGGAGGACACAAATTTGCCGGAAACGTGATTGTGTATGTTCCGCCTGGCTATGAGGTGCAAGGGGGCAGGCCGCATCCGCTCGCAGGATGTGGGATTTGGTATGGGAGGGTTGAACCGAAGCATGTGGAGGGATTGGTGGAAGAGACTATTTTGAGGGGGAATGTGGTGGAGGATATGTTTAGGGGGGGGATAGACGCGAAGAGGAGGATATTGAGGTTGTGACGTAGCAGACTTGGGATGTTGGAATGACGTGTAGACTGCTCCGTAGAATTTGTACATTAGATTTTTCAACCCTCTTACTTTAATATCGGGCGACTTGAATGAAATACAGGATATTTCGTTTCTTGGTTTGGTGTTTCGAAATAGAGTATTTGGTTGATGCACGTGACTACCGAGGATATCGCGAGCTTCACCTGTCCACACTTGGATCTGGATCTCAACCAAAAAGAGAAACTACACTACGACAACATAATGTACAAATAAGGTTTTTGTTTCTGTTGGAGATTATCATCTCGCTTCTTTCCTTGGTCTGGATTCGCTTTGTCTCTTGTCTGTTACCTCTCACAGCATGGCAGCGCCACTCCGCACTATCTTGCGGCCCTCTTGCAAATGGGCACCGAAATACAGCTCCAGTCAACCATGCGCCTCAATATCGCGAAAACCCAAACGCTTCCTTTGCACCACTCACACGCACAAGGAAGCTCGTGCATTTCCATCCATTTTCATCGCCATCAGTCTCATGGGCGTAGCGACATACTACGTCCTCACGCCGACGAGCCACAAAACCCTCAATAGCGATTCATTCATCCCCTACACCATCACCTCTCGCCAGCCCATCTCCCCCACCTCGGTCATCTTCACCATTTCGCCGCACCAACATGACCCTTCGCTGCCATACTTGCTCCCCAACTCAAAGGAGTGGAAGTATCCCCTTTGGTCAGTCGAGTTCAAGCAGCCCGAGGTCCAAATCGCCCGGCACTACACTCCTCTGCCGCCAGCAGACGGGGAAAACACCCAAGACGGCACCCTCCGTTTCTACATTCGCGCTGTAGGAGGTGGAGAAATGTCTAATTATCTAAATAGGCTCGGTGTAGGGCGGGACGTCTTCCTCCGAGGGCCGCACACGGGGTTTGATGTTTTGAAAAGGCTAGGAGAGCAGAAGAATGTGGTGTTCCTTGCGGGGGGCACCGGTGTAGTTCCCGGTATGCAGGTTGCCAAGGCCGTTTTGGAGAGAGACACCACCGCAAGCGTAGAGTTGCTATGGGCCGTGCGGAAAAGGGAAGAGCTGCAACGATGTTGTCAAAGCGGTTCTGCAAGGCCGTGGTGGAACTTTTGGAGCGCCGCGGCGCCGACTGAGTTGACGGCCGAGGTGGAAGAACCGAGTGCAATGGGGAAACAGCTCGCGCAGATGAAGGCCAAGTACGGCGAACGACTTGCGGTCCGCGTGGCCGTGGACGAGGAACGCACACACTTCACAGAAAGAGACATTGGAGACGCTCTGGCTAGTGGTGGGCGTACACTGCCTGGTCCAGGATGCCAACTCCACGACCAACGCCTCCATGTACGAGCGTCTGAGTTTGAAGATGCCGGTACCAAGTGTCAGTGTTCTCCTGCCGATAAGCCCGGAAAGAATCTGCTCATGGTTTCCGGCCCAGATGGGTTCATTGCACATTACGCTGGACATAAGAAATGGATCGGGGGAACACTGACGCAGGGGACAGTAGGCGGTGTTGCCGGTGTGTTGCAGAAGAAGAATCCTGTTTTGGCAAACGATTGGCTTGTTTTGAAGCTGTGATAATTCATCACTGGAACAGACAACACGTGGCGCCTCAAATACAACGTAGCCATCCGTAACAATTACAGACAAGTCGAATACAACGTGTACATTATGGAACATGAGTCACCTAGCACTGCAAGTCAAGCCAAAGAGTATATTGAGCTCCAATAACGCTAATGCATCGAAACCCAAACGCCCACAAATGCGCACTAACATCGCCTACCGATTCTGCACTTTCCTGTACGATGGCGGCTTGATCGCCCTCCTGATCAGTTTCCCTGCATATGGAGGGATCAAGGATATGGCTCCAATAGAAAGGATGCGCCATGCAAATCCCCTACAATCACATTAGCAACCCAGGCATACGGAGTTGGCGAAGTGAGCTTAACGGAACGTACCAAGTAATGACGAAACTGAGATCAAAGTATCCTCCCAAGAACGGGATACTGCCAACAAATACCAAAAAAGTACCCAGAATACTCAAGATCATGACCGGATGCCACGTGGTGATCTCAATGGCAACCATAATGAGCTCATTCAACACCAGCACAGTATAACTCACAGCTACCATCTTCGGCCCGTCTACTTCGGTCAGAATCTGCGACAAGCCCTGGATCATACCGCCTTGGTAGATGGACACGAAGACCCATACGAAAAAGGTGCGGTATGAGAGGGACCGACCCTCGGTGAGTTCCTTGTACAGTTCCGGGTATAGGTTGGCCAAGTTTTCGTCGACATCCTTGTCAAGGACAAGGGACAGAACCGGAGCAGCGGTGTAGATGGTTGCATAGCCAACGAGGAGCCAGTCCTGAACTTGGTCAGCATGTATCGTCAGGTCAGAGATGGAAGAATAATGCACACCTTGTATAAGCCTTCGGGTTCAAATTTCCTGGCAATACTGTACATGGTCTGACACACCGCTATAATCAGACCACGATGGATAACAAACTGCGCCAGCTTAGCACTCCTTTTATAACTGTTCCGCCCATGCCACACGAGTAGCTTGACCAAATGATAAAATTGTCCAATTGAGAAGTCGGCAGCCAAACTCGCCTGGCGACCCTCCTTGCCGACAATACCAACACCCACGTCTGCTGCTTGAATCATCGACACGTCGTTGCCTCCGTCTCCGATGCAACAGACTCTCTTCTTGGTGTATTCCTTGATGAGCTTAGCAACCTCAGCTTTTTGTGTGGGCGAGCATCGACATGCTACCACAGTGGGAAGCTGCACGGCAACGGAAATGAATTCGATTCGGAAATGAGTCAGCAGGAGCTGAAGACTTTCGCCATCAATGAGGAGACATGCGTCTGTTTTGCCACGCAGGAAATCGAGATGTTCCTGAGCGCCGTCCTTGCGCTTGAGTTTAGCGACGGTGTAGATGTACTGGCCGCGTGCAACCAGCTTGGAGCTAACGGCCACACAACGAGCTGTTTCTACCTTGTCTCCTGTCAACATCCAAATTTTGATACCAGCATTGCGAAGAAGCTCTAGTGACGGCTTGACATCTTTTTGTAACTTGTCCTCCACACCAGTGACACCGAGCAGTTCGAGATGATTTTCGAGGTGGTGCGATATGACGCGTTGAATGCCAGCATCGCGATTTGCAATGGACATGGAAGCCTCTTGGTACTTGGATGAGAACTCTTGATACTGCTGGTACGACAGCTTCTTCCGACCAACAACCAGTGTTCGCAGTCCCTCTCTAGCCATATTGGCCGTCTCCTCATCCAGCCAATCGTTGGCGGCGACTATCGTGCCCATGACTGTATCAGCGCCCTTTTGATAGAACCAAATCTCCCCAGAGCTCAGGCTTAGATTAACATTCTTCACGTCGTCGTGGAAGTGGACAATAATGCCCATGCGCTTGCCATCAGATGTAAATGGGAACACATCGAGAATACGAACACGGACCACTGGTCGTCCTGTTTCTGTTGATTCAAGCGTCATGCCCTTTCTGTCGCGGTATGCCAACTTCAGTCCGACCGACTCTGTCCATTTGACAATGGCGATCTCATCGGGTGATGATGCCTGGTACGATGTGATTTCTTTGTCATCCTCAATATCAACGGTAGGAGTGACATTGTGGCACAGGGCCAGAGCGAGAACCACGTCCCGCACGCGTGCTCCAATCTCACGTCGTGTGCGAGTAGCGCCCACATTGACGGTACTCGAGAAGGTTGAGGATGGCGTAATGAGGACAGTCCGTGACGATGGGTCTGTTGTAGGCTGAATGTGGAATCCTTGACGAACGTATGATTTGACCTCATCCATTGCCTCATTAGCATAAGACACAGTCCCGACGTGGACTTTCTTCATCTCCATGTCGTTCTGCGTCAAAGTGCCTGTTTTGTCGCTAAGCAAATACTCAATTCTTCCCAGGTCCTCGGGTATGGTGCTGGTTCGTACAACAGCGCCTGGAATTCCCGGATCGCGTTGAATGAACCTTGAATACGCGCTCTTGCCCATGTCGAGGTTGACCCGCAAACTAATAGGAACAATGGTTGAGAACAAAACCAGAAAGCGCATGATTTTGATGTACCACACGTTGCCTGTTGTATTTTCAAACCCTTCCAGAGCAACAAGAACCACCGACAATGCCAAGGTGAGAGCGCACAAGATCTTGGTAAGTGAATTGATTTCGTATTCGAGAAGACCAGTCTTGGATCGAGACGGGGACGTCGACAACGCAGACCTTGTCTGTGGCCCAGTATACAAGATCACTGCCAGGGTGGTTCCTTGAGAGGCAATGATTGTGTTGGCCCAAGCCGTATTATCAATTGATAGAGGTGCCGACTTCGAATTACCGTCATGCTTCAACATCGAGTGGTGGCTCGTCGCATCTTGTCTCGTAGGGAACAGTTCAACAGTGCCCACAAACTCGCCGACCTTCTTGTCAGGCTTCCCCCCTATAACTCTCAATCGCACAAACTCCTCGGGGGCGATACTCTGCGTCAGAGCCGAGGCCAGCCTCAGCTTCCAGTCTGTCTCACCATCGAGTTGGTCGGTTCTAATAAAGGTCTCTCCAGAGCCTCCACCGGCATCGCCCTCATCCTTCTGTATCTCTATTTCTGGCTCTTTTCCCTTTCCATCGGGCTCATTTTCGCTAAAAGCAAAGAGGGTCTCCTCTTCCGATGGCTCCTTGGTAGGGGTTGATGAGGTAGGTCCCTCCACATTGTAGCATTGTAATATGACCACATCGGCCGGCACCCGTTGTCCTTTGCTGAGTTTGAGAACGTCGCCAACTTTCAGATCTTTGGATTTGCGCATCTCTTCTTGAACGAAAGACGAAGGGTGGTGGGTGTTATCTTCCTCCTGAATATCGGTTAAGTCGTGCCGAGATCCCCTCTGCCTTCTTGCCCCCCTCTTGTTCAATAGATCAGATTTGAGCGGTCGACGGGGTGGTTTACTTGATGCAAGTCGTAGCTCGGGATCAGAAAACGTCAGCACTCGGTATTCTTCGGAGTTGGCCTCATTGTCTCTCCGCCGCCTCTCAATGTCGTCGTACGCCTCCTTCCCCATGGTGATGCAAAGAACGAAAGCAAGCGGCGCTATATAGGTGGACAAATAACCAATTCGAAGAGCAGGTATTGCTTGCGACAAGGCGACTAGAAGAAAGTACATGTTAAAGAAGAAAGAAAACTCATTATACAGGGTAACGGGAAGAAAAGTCAGCGCTGTATATTTAGCATTGGAAACGACATTGGCCGGGAATCGGGTTGACTGAATAGATCCAACGGCGACATGTCTTGAAGCCGAAGGATCATCATCATCTTGCTCATCTACAGCATCATCGTCTCCATGTTGGGGGGGCTTGTTTCCAGACAAGAAGCTGGGGAGCCGTATGCTTGACATGGACAGCCGCCGACTGTGAGACATCTGATGGCCGCCAAGGAGAGGAGCATCATCATCGTCATGGCTGCCTCCAGCTCCATCATGCTCGTCTAGCAGTCTACGAGTATGTTCGTCGAAGTCATCTCGATTCTGGCCGAGCTCGCCATATCCGCGGCCGCCGCGTTTGTTAGCACGTCGCAAACCTCCCATACGCAAGTTCCGGAGAGCTATTCTTGACGGCTTTGATTCAGATGAGCCGGAAGGTTGGTCTCGATTTGATCCTCTGATGTTCTCCGTTGAGATGGGGTCCAGCTCGTGGACGTCGAGATCTAGGTCGGAGTCGGAGTCATGCGTGGGAGATTCGGGGCGCTCGGGTGGTCTGTACGGAGGTGTCGAAGGCATGCCGCATCAACGTTTCCAGCCCGAAATTCAGGAAAAAATATGTTGGGGCTTCTTGTATAATTTTTGCGAACTGTGCGTGATGCGCTGGCGTCTTTAGCGTTGCTCGGATGATCATGCTGCGCTGCGAGGCGCCAGTTTATCCTGTCAGACGCGGAGTCGAAAATGCTGATCAAGAAAAACTAGCGTACGATTCTTGGCGCATTGTCTGCAAATCAGAAAGGAATGGTTAAGCGAGTGCCAGTCTGCAGTTATTCGAGCGACAATGTGCGATGCAGAGAAGAAGGGAAATAGAGTCGTCTGAAGTTTAAGCTACGTACACGTAACCTTACTCTGCGTACGTACCAGTTGACATGTGTCCAAGGCTGCAGACGCCAGGGGTTCATTTTTAGCTGCATGCATGCACTCTTCAAGCTTGAGTGGGCATTTACTGACAACCCTAGCTACCCTACACAGCTGACCGACCTCGACTTGACAGATGCCGTGGGCGTTGCGATTAATGACTTCTTGGAGCGTTTGGACTCGATATCGCTTTCTATTGATGCTTTAGCTTGGTCTTCGTTCGCTCCCATCGTGAGAATGTAGCCCTGACGGGAGGGAAAACGTTGACGAAATCTATATGGCTTTCAAACGGCCAAAGTACAACACGAAAGTAGAAACAAACACGGAATAAATAGTTGCAGTGCAGGTTGGGACATTGGTCTTTCCACTGGGGAGAGTTTTCATTTCTCAATTTTCATACTCGGCCAGCCATAGCCAGGCCTCATGTCTCATGGTGAATTTTAGGTTGAGAAACGTCTCGTATCATCATCACAGCATATCACCGTAACCTTAATCCCAAATCGACCATTCGAGTACGCACACCCCAATGCAGTATAAACTCTTACAGGCGATTGTTGAGAGCAAAAGGAGGTCATGGTCCTGTCCCGTCAAATCTTTCATTCCCCACAGCTTACTTAATTAAGTACGCAGTAACCAGACTTGAGTGCAGGTTTGCAAGGTTGATTAGCTGCAAGTCCGCCTTGTGGCTCCACCAACAGGCAGCTCTCCTGACTGCCAAGTTAGTGTGCAAAGTCCATCGGCCCTGTAACTAACTACAACGAACTAAATGCCAGCTTGCATCAAGTCACCCATCTCACGTCACCACCTTTCTCCCTCTCCAATACTGCCTTCACCTCACATTGCCGCCATCTCACATTCGATACCCCCGAATTTCGATTCTAGCAACTCCTTTTGGTATGGCGAACCGGAAATCGACATAAGGAAATCGTGTGCATTTCGATTCTATTATTTTCCGCTCGTGTATGTTCTCTCCGTCTCACATCCACCATCACGCGCACCCTTCGCCCCAGGCTCTTGGCTGCGCAGGACATCGGTGACTCAGTGTCACCTTTATCCGCCTCACCAAATGCCCAGGCATTGTTGATGCTGATGAATTAGAATTCCTGAATGTATTCGTTCTAATCCGCCGCGTCCTGTTCCTCGCGCCTGTTCATCGCACTTGAACCATGGCCGCAGAGCCAGCCGGTCCATGGCACCCGGCCATGAGGCCTAATAGCGCTGCTGATGTTGTTGTGCCGAGTGACAAGTCCGAAGCGGCTTCCTCCATTGATAGCAATACAGCGCGTCAACCCACTCAATCCGAAGAGCACGATGCCACTGAATCATGGTTCGACAACGAGCATGAAAACGAGGACGAAGCCAACGCTTGGCTCATACCAGAAGACACCGAACCATCGAAGCTCATCGATCCTGCACAGTCAACACGCCCTTTACAACCCACCGAAGCGGCAGAAGTGCTCGGTTTGGCCGAAACTCACACCCATGAAGAACAGCAAAAGTCAGAAGATGCTGCCATCGCATGGCTGACCAATGGTGATGATGGGGACGGTGGCGCAAAACTGCTCTCCGACCAACGGGAACACAGTCCTTCTGGAAAGAAACCTAAGCATTCCTCCCAGGAGGACCACGCCGATGGGGCTCTTGCTTGCGAAGCGCTGAACAAAGAGCACGCTCGACCGGACGTAAACGAAGCCAAAGAAACGAAACATGTAGCCAAGGGGCCTTCTTCGACCATGGCTCAGCACTCTAGCTCTATGTCCTTTGCTCGTACTGTCTCCCATGAGATCACTTTCGGCGACGATGATGATGGGGAATGGATCCTCGGTCGATCCGACACTGACACGTTCGGCTTCATGCCGCCATCGGATAGGACGAACTCATTCCCTGTTGTGCCCCCCATTTCTTCCGTCTCCGAACCCAACCACGCCCTGCCTCTCCCTTCTAACCAGGCTCTCGATGTTATGGAAGAGAACGAAAGGGAAGCTGAACTTGAGAAAGACGAATACATGATGCAAAGCCCCGAAGGCGATAGCTCCGCGTCCTGGCATAGACATGTGGCCACCCGACGTAACCACGCGCCATCACGATCCATTGGCGGCGAAATTGCAGATGTTACCACCACTGCTGCAGCGTCACGATTTGAAGAAGGGATACCATTGATTCCACGGCGCGAAGCGGAGGGCGAAGCTTCAGAAGCTAAATCCGACCTGTTTGCAGACGAGGAGGCAAATGAGGATGACTTCTTTTCTCAGGTTCAGAAGAATGACTGGGACAGCAACACAAAGCCTTTGGAGCGGAAATCTACAATGCACGTCATGGCAGCTATGGATGACGCTGGCACATTCACTCGCCAGAGCACAGTCGAAGAGGAGACTATCGAAGAACATGCTGATGAGTCTGCGGAAGGAGTTGCACTTGGCATTTCAGAGACAGCCGAGCCGGCGTCAGCAATCGATGACTTGGCATCCAAGTGGGAGGAGGCCTTTGGGGGGAACGACAACGATGATTTCCTTCTAGACGACCCAACGGTAGAGAACACGGATATTGATGCGGCGGCCTTTCTAGGCAGTGACGATGAAGGCCTTCTGGATGATGTATTGGACGAAACTGCGCCTGCCATTCAAACGTCACAACCTCAAAAGCCGGCGACGAACCCTTACGCCTCCATTAATTCCGCAGCTCATCAATCAACGCCCTACAACGCGACAGCTGCCGCAGCTGTCTCCGCCCAGTATCCCTCAGTGATACCATACAGTGGTACTCCTGTCCATTATGGACAAACACCAGCACTGCCGCAACCTGAAGCTACCAAAGCCCAGAGCTTTGCGGATAAATCCAAGGCCGGGTATGCTTCACCTTACGATTTGCCCACGGATCTGGTCACCAAAACTGTGAAGCCACGAAAGCGTCCAAGTCTTCAACATATTCCGCCCGAAAGAGCTCCGCCGCCTCCCAGAAGTGCCAGCATGTATTCGCCAGGGCCGGCGACTCCTGCTGCGTCCGCGTTGCCGGCTTCATCAGCGCCTCCGGCATTGGCTGGTCAACCCCCTCTGGGTCTGGGCCCCGAAACGACTGAGAAAACACCGGCCCCGGCTCTGCGCCCAAAAGGCAGCTTCTTCGAGGAACTGCCATTACCATCCAAGCCCAGACCGGCTTCAAGACAGAGTCAACGAGCACCTTCGCCAGGTCAGTACGCACCGGGACCGCCGCAACATGGACCTCCGCCAGCATCACGAACTGTCCCTGCTTTGGCCCCGACAGCAAACCAGCCGCCAACCGCCCAACACTCGGCCGGGGAGACCCAGACAACACCTGGTATGGCCGGCTTAGTTGCTCCTCCAAGGGTGAACCCCTTTTCCACTCTTCAATCCCAATCTCCATCCGTCACACCTCCATCGAGCAGTTCTTCTCGATACTCGCCCGCACCGGCAGCTCAGCAAGGTGGCGGTGTTTCCCTATCAAGCCGGTATTCGCCAGCACCATCTGCTGGATCACGCCCGAATAGCTCATATGGCACTGGTCCTTCACACAACCTTCCTCACTTGCCACGAACCTCGAGCCCATTGGCACACTTTGAGAGTAGCGGTACTACTGACGGGCAGCATCATGATCGTCGAACAAGCTCATCGTTTGAACCAAGGTTAAATCGTGTCTCATCCTTGCCTCCAACTCGAGAGGTGGATGAGGAGGAAGACGAGGAGGCCGTGTCTCCTGGAAATCGATCTGTCAGTGCCAACCATGCGGCCGCTGCTGATATTGCCGAGTCGCGATATAGCCCAGCTTCACCAGTGTGTACAGCTCGTTACACACCTTCATTACCCTCTGCTACTAACGGGCCCGCCGCTGCTCTTTCGCCCACCAAGAGAACCAACTCTTACGCACCCCAACCAGTAACATCGTCTGCTCAAGCCTCGTTTGCACCCCCTCCGCGCGCCCAAACACACTCCCCTGGTGCTATGCAAAACGTTGGTAGAAAGGGCAGCAAATCATCGGAATCCGGCCCTCGCCCTTCATCCTCTCACGCATCGACAGCGCCTGCGATGGCGAAACCTGCCCAATCTGCGTATGCTCCCATCACCCGCGCTCGCGGCCAGTCACTTACCAATTTGTTGCCACCTACCGATGGTAGAGAGCACGATCCCCTGGAGAGGTGGAAGGGAGCTCCGGTCATGTCTTGGGGAGTCGGTGGAACATTTGTAACAATATTCCCCAGGAGCATTCCTCGCTACGCTATAGGACAAACCACGCCAGTTACTGTACGTACAGTGGGTGAAATCAAGGTCCAGAATATTAAGGATCTGGACCCTCTTCAGGATCACCTGGCCAAATTTCCTGGCCCTTTAAAGGGAAAGTCCAAGAAGAAGGAGGCAATTTCATGGCTCTCTGCTGGTATTGAATTCATGGAAAAGGAGCTTCCGGATGTCACTTTCCACTCTCATCTGTCCCTGGAGGAGAAACGCTCCATCGAGCGACTCTTGCTGTGGAAGCTTTTGAGAGTCTTCGTCGAACATGATGGTGTGCTTGAGGGTAGTCCAACTGTGGACAAGGCAGTTCGACAGGTCTTGATCCCGGAGACCGCTGGGATGCAAAGTGAGGGTGCACCGCTTTTTACAGCGGCAGATACCACGACCGCAGTTACCTCGATGCAGGCAGATGGAGTGGACTCGGGAGCTATTGAAAAGATTCGCCTAGACTTGCTCAAGGGGGATCGTGAGACTGCTGTTTGGGCTGCTGTGGACAAGCGCCTCTGGGGCCATGCCATGATCATTTCTCAGACCGTCTCCTCAGATCTGTATAAACGGGTTGCGCAAGAATTTGTGCGCAAGGAAGTCAACTACCCAGGCCACAACAATGAGTCTCTTGCCGCTCTATACAAGGTTTTGTCTGGCAATTATGATGACTGTGTTGATGAGCTTGTGCCTTCTCATGCCCGCGCAGGATTGCAGCTTGTGTCTACTGAGAATTCTTCTGGCCCTACCAAAGACGCTATGGAAGGCCTCGACAAGTGGCGTGAAACCTTGACCCTCGTATTGAGCAACCGCAGCAATGACGATGTTCGAGGGCTGAATGCTCTGGGTAAGCTGTTGTCTAGCTACGGACGAGCCGAAGCGGCACATATCTGCTTCATTTTTAGCCGGCAGCTATCAGTTTTTGGCGGGCTGGATGACCCAAAGGCAGACTTTGTCCTGCTAGGTTCGGATCATCACAAGCAGTCGGACCAATTTGCCAAGGAGACTGAAGCCTTGCAGCTCAGTGAAGTCTATGAGTATGGATTGACTCTGGCTGGAGGTGTTACAGCAACTGCGGGAGCACCTCATCTTGCGGCTTACAAACTTCAGCATGCCGTAACACTTGCTGAGTACGGCTACCGCGATAGGGCTCTGCAGTACTGTGATGCGATTGCTTCGGCCATTGTTTCCCAGACACGCAGGTCTGCCTACCACCACCCCATTCTTGAAGGCTCCGTGGAAGATTTCTTGGCAAGGTTGAAACAGGCACCCAAGGAAGCATCCTCGTCCTGGATCTCTAAGCCTACGATGGGCAAGGTATCTGATAGCATGTGGAACCGATTCAACAAGTTCGTCTCCGGAGATGAGGACGGCAATGGCCAAGCTGGGTCAGATGGTGATAACGGACCATTTGCTCGTATCGCTTCTTCACCGAACAATTCGAGACCGCCATCGACTTCCAATTTTGATGTCTATGCCTCCTCTCCAAGCTTTCCGTCTTCTTCTGCACCGCCTGCAGCTGGTGCCGCCGCATCTCGATACGCCCCGGCACCAACGGCCCAATTCCCTACCGCCCACGTCAATCCATTTGCTCAAGCCGCGCAGGGGCAGCATGTGCCACTGCCCAATCCGACAAGCAGCGCCCAAAGATACGCCCCCAACCCGTCCGAGGCAAGTTACTCAGGCGTACCGCCTGCACAACCTCTAACTGGTGGATACCAGCCCGTGGGTTATCCTCGAGCCGCTGTACCTCCTAGTCACCAGCCTGTCGAGGCAGTTGCCCCCCATGCTCAACAGCAGCCAGCCCCTGCCGTCCAGGCTCCAACCTCTGCCGGGTACCGGCCGTACAGTCTTCAAGAGCCACCAAATATTCAACCCCAGCCTGGAGCTGATGACGCCGACCAAGGTTACCAGCCGCCATCTTACGGTTACGAACCTCCACAAACGGTCCCAGATCCCGTTAGGAGTGATGCTCAAGGGACGGGTGACAGCAGCGGATATGAGCCACCTTCGTTCCAGCCATATGATTATGAGGCCCCATCATACCAGGCCCATGTTGAGGGTGATGACGCACGCAAGCCCAAGAAGAAAAGCTTTATGGAAGATGACGATGAGGATATCCCCGCACTAAGGCAACCACAGGAGAAGTCGAAAGCGGAAAAAGACCGAGAGAATGAGGAACTGTTCCGCAAAGCGGCAGAAGAGGATGGTGAGTGCCAAGTGTCCATTGTTTATCGTGCATCAAGATTTCTAATAATTATAAAGCCAAGCGAGCAGCTTCAACAACCAGTGTCAAAAAGGGATGGGGTTTTGGAGGCTGGTTCGGGGGTGGCAAGAAACCCGAAGGCAACATTGGCGAAGCTCAGCCAGGCAAAGCCATCAAGGCCAAACTTGGTGAACAGAGCAGCTTCGTTTATGATCCAGATTTAAAGCGTTGGATCAACAAAAAGCCAGGTGCCGAGAACATCGAGACCAAGAAGGCCGCCCCGCCACCACCACGGGGTGCTCCTCGCCCTCTAAGCGGCACCCCCCCTCCTGGGGCACCTGGCACTCCACCTCCAGCTGCTGGACGATCCAGCGTTCCTCCCATGCCGTTCCGATCTACTGCGGGCAAGTTAACGACTGCTCAGTCTATGGAAAACCTGACTGGTGCTTCTGCTATGGGGGCACCTCCCGCAAGCCTCTCACGGTCGGTATCTAGCAACAACACGACATCGGCACCGCCGTCTACAGGTCCGCCCAGTAGGCCTGCGACCAGTATGAGTAACGCAAGCAGCATTGATGACTTGCTCGGTGCGCCTGGCCCAAGAAAAGCAGGTCAGAAGAAGGCACGAAAGAGCGGTCGATATGTCGATGTTATGGCCAAGTAGTCTCATAGTTGAGTAATACGATGTGGAAAGGATGGCTCGAGCCTGAAATGAAGTTTGCAGAGCACCAATATGATGGGTTCACACACATATTACGGCGTTTTGTCAATAGAATTAATACTGAGCATTCATGTACTATAGATATTCTGTTTTTCATACTACGGATCTGTAGTAATCACGCCAATTACAATACCATTTCAAGAAATATCATGTTACAACCTCAAAAAGCCATTACGCACGACCCTGTAGTCGTTCTCATTTCCTACCCAACTCTAGTTGATATATAACTTATACATATGTTCTTCGTCACCTGCTGTATGATTGTACGTAATACTGTAGCTAGTTAGATAAAGTGACCGATTTGTTTGTTTGAGAACTTACGGTAACAACAGACTCGTCCTCAGTTGCATCATCATAATGCGGGACATAAACATAAAGGATCAAGGCATGGTCATCTGCAAAGCAAGCAATGACACGACCCTCCAGTCGACCCACGCTTAGCACTCTACTCCAGTCCCTGCCATCTACACGCACCGTGGCCCATCGACCTGGTCCCTTTTCGCGAAACTTGGTACTAGGGTGCTCTTCAACAGGCCGTTCTAGCTGCAGAGGGTCCAATTCGGGATTTTCGAGATTGGACCATACGCTGCATATGTCAGTTGTTTCAGTGGCTATTCGCAGCCGCAAGCTCCCGTGCATATTGGCACTGAGTTCCAATTTTGGTGCCTTGGAAGAGTTTGCCCCTGTCAAGGCTAGCTTTGTGAAGCGATCTGATATAGCTTTGAGCTGCAGCAACGGCGGCAATTGAATGTGGACATCTGGTTCCCGCACTCTTGGCTGCATGATTGTCTCGACGGTCACTGGGTGCAGCACACGCACGGGTATGTCCTGTGTGATAATCTTCTCGTGCTCTCTGCGTAGTGACGTCTCGAGGTGCTCCTGCTCAAAGACGTCATCGCCAAAGGGGTCCTCGGACGACAATTTAACTGCGGCTGAGGACACGTTCGACGTGGTTGTCGTGATGGTCATGGACAGAATTGGCAGACCGTCCTTTTTAGTGAGCCGCAGGGACGCGGATATGCTGTTGAGAGCGGATTTGAGTGCGCGCTGGAGCGGCTGAAGAGGAAGTTCGAGGTTGATGGTGTTGTGGGACTCCGCGGATTGGATGTGGTGGCCCTGGAAGATGAGATCCATTGCGAGCGAGCTACGGGAGAGTCAGTAACGAGGTGAGATGACTTGGCGTAGGATGAGTCCATACGCCCAGACTTGTGATCCCATGTCTGGGATGACGGTGAATCTGACTGTGTCATCACTGAGGCGGACCCAGGCTATCTTTTCCAGGGATGAGAGAGCAGCCGTGAGTTCTGGAGATTGTTAGCGGTTTTGGAAGCGGTTTAAAATGTGTATGGTTGGACATGCTTGCAAACGTGCGTATGTTCTTCAATTCTGTGCGAAACCGCATCTTGGGGTCTGTGTCGCGAGGAGTGAGGATAAGGTTAGATGCAGGTGCGATGGGAGCAGTGGTGGGGTTCAATGTTTGGTTGGACCTTCAAATTGCTTCACGGAGTATACCTTAGGTACCTAGGGTACTTGAGTTACATATAAAAGTCGCTGACGGGTACTCCGTACTTAAGCACATACACAAGTGGAGTGGGAAGATGGGGGGAACTTGAGCAACTTACACCCCAGTTCTCGAATGACAATGCAGCCTCGATGAACATTTAGCATCTGATACTGCAAATCAACTGAATACACCTTCCCGACATTCGAAAGAAAATTGATATTGTTTATTCCGCATTTCAACAACTGGTCCCGAAAATCAAAACATCGAAACTCCCTTCGCACCATGCATCCACTACACTCTCGCCATCAACTATAGCCGCTCATTTTTTTTTGGGGAGAATACCTCTCTTTTCTCTCCTTTATACAGACCAGATCATTTGATACGTAAAGATTTTCACTCCCAGCCTCGCTATGAACGCTTTATTTCCAGTCCACCCATTCTTACTCTTTCCCGGGTCCAAAATGCCCCGCGTCAAGGATATCATCCGCCGGGTAAGCGAGAAGTATGGCAGGGAATATTTTGAGCGCTGGGTGCTACAACGGCGTGCATCCATGGAACCCAAAGAACCCCTTTTAACCGGACGACCCATTGAGCATGATGAGGTAACTAGTTCGAATGCTACCGGTCGTCTGCCTTCGCTGCCAGAACCAGAATCACCAATCCTCGCAATGGGCCGCCCGGCCATGCCAACATTTCGCCCTTTGAGGGTTCGAAATTCCGAGCAGAGATCGAGTGACAGCCAAGATATGACGGTAGTCAGCACCTACGGACGACCAACGACGAGCCATGCTGAGCAAATACAGCAGCCCTCGGTTGGCCGATTTACATTCGAGACCTCTGAAGTTGCATCTGATGATATCATCACGCCTACACCTGGCCAAGAAAATAGCTCTGACTGTAGATTCTCTATCGCGACTACAGCGGACGCTAATTTGGACAGCCAAAGGCGCCCCCTTACCTGCTATATCTGTGGCAAGTTTTTTGGAAAAAGGGAACCACAAACCAAAGAGGTGGTGGTGTATCTTCCTTGTGGCCATAGTGTAGGCCACGACTGCCTCTTCAACTGGATGACAACACCGAATGGCTCACGACGATGCCCTGCCATGCCTTGTATTTCGATTCGTCACCAGTGTGAGCACATAACCTCACCAGCCACCAAAGAACCATTGATAAAATTTGGCAACGCAGCAGAAGAACGCGAGGCAACCGTCTTGCCGTGGGATTATGGGTTCTGTTCGAGCTCCAAAGGTGCTAAGCTTCACGCGTCTATTAAAGTGACGAGCACAAAAATAAGGAAGCTGGAAGCTATACAAGCCCGAGGGGGGAAGACTGTCGCATTAAATCAGAGGCTCGCAATGCATCGGTCTGTTGTCGAGAGGCATGAAAGGAAACTGGACGAACTGCAGAAAAAATGGTGGACAGCTCAGTGGAAACAGTTTGAGCAAAAGAAGGAGTCAGGTCCGTGGGCCTGGCAAATAACAAAGGGGGGCGACAAGGGTGAATCTTGCTCCACGAGAGCTTAAGCGAAACAGGTTATGCATATGTGTATTAGCCCAGAGTATCAGCACCAAATATGACAGCGACATCGTCTTTCGGATGTGAGCTTTTTCAGTGATACATGTTCCATGCATGCTCTGATCATAATTCGTGTTACTTTATGTTGCTCCCCTGAGGGCTGTATGAAGTGCAGCGCTGCTGGAAATACAGTGTAGAAGTTGGGGGTGTCATTCACGAGCTTGTTCTTCGTCGCTGTCGTCCATGAACCCCTCCTCAAGACTAGGAACTGTGAGAATCCAATCATACACGGGGCTCATCGAGGCCACCTACTCTCTACTCAGCCGTCGGTTGCTGTCAAGGCCCGATCCCAAGTATGAATGCAATCTCTGGATGGCATTCAATGTTTGTTCATCCACGTCACCCAGTTCCTCTCCATCTTCCAAAAAGTCGTCTGCGCTCGGATTGTCAACAGATCCTCTATTCCTACTCCACGTCGAGGGTAAGGTGAGTCTTGAGAAGCGATTTACGATGCGATGTCGCAGGCCGGATGTATGGTTGGATATGGACTCCACGGGGAGGTATTGACCGTAGCGGTTGCGATAGCGGCGCCATATGGGGGCGATGACGAATGTGAGCAAGAGGAATATAATGAGGGATATGACGGCTGGGACGAAGAGGGCCTGTATAGTAAGTCTTATTAGCTGATTCGGGCCAAGAGACGGAAGTTCTCCAAGCAGTTACACAGGTTCCCGGCAACTAGGTGCGTTTCGAAATCGAACGAGTCGAAAGAGGACGACTAGGGGAGCATACTTTCACAAGCGATAACATTGAGGACGATGATGCAGCCATTTTGGCGGTGGGGTTGTTTATGTCGGGCGAGGGTGACGTAGAAGCCGTGGGGACGGCTATTGATGCGGTGAGGACATGGAGATGCTTTGGATGATACTGGAATTGATTATGTACGACCGTGGTGTTTGCGAGACGACGGAGTTCGGAGTGCTTGGCGGGTGGCGCCACAAGTGAGACTGGAGCCTGGCATGCGACATGGTCGAACACGTATATCAAAAGAGCACCCTATTATCACTTCTTTTGGTCAACTACTGACAAACGAGAACTTCGTTTAGTGCCCCGAATTAGTATTTCCTTTTTGAAGGGGGTCTTTTTTGGAAAAAAAAAAAAATACGCATTTGCGACTTGCAGTAAACACCAATTACTAACAACCATGATTATCAGGGTCTGGCACTACGTACGTACTAACTACCCCAGGGCTGAGATTGGTCTTTTAATGATTACCGTGTTTCTTCCGCACTACTTCGCAACTAGTGTCACCTTGGCTCAATTAGGTCATTGCCAATCTCGCAACCATGGTAAAGCCCCGTGGTCTAAGACACCTAAATTCGTCACGATACGGTCGATGGAATGCCCTGATAGGCACGCAGGGGCTCGTTCGGATCTTGCGCACGTATAGTTTGTCATGGGGTAGTTGCAGAGTCACGAGAGTATCACCGTCTCGCATCAGATTGATCCTCACGGGCGAGACAGCGCGTGTAAGGCTTCCTTCTGACAGGTATATAAGCTAAAATTGCTTATTAATCCTTCAGATATAAGTGCATACTTCTCTGTGGAGGCATTCTGTTTCTCCATTTTGAACCTCAAGATCGGGATTGGGCAGTTAATAGAAGTCCAGTCAAGTCGATGTCGTGACTCTGGTCACGTCTTCGTTTGATGCGCAACTCCACACATACCTACCTAGGTAGGCAAGTAGGTATATCTACTTGGCATCGTGGCGATGCAATGGTTCGTGCCCCCGGTTTCTTCGAGAAGAGACAATGGTTTCGTCAGTTGAGACCATCACGCCAGTGATAAATGAGAATGAAGGTTTACCCTTCTTCATGGCCATGCAATTGAATGCAGCTTACGAATGTGTCAGCTGGTTAGTTCTTGGTAGGGAAAGAGTGATTGACGCAACTTAAGTCGATTCAACTAGCAAGCGCCAGACTGTTTCTAGCTCAACGCCATCATCTCTTCACGAGATGCTTGCTTCCCCACTTCATCAACATCAAATGATCTCAGCTGGGAACTGGAGTCACGACCGCTCTGTTTTCTGTCTACATTTGCCTGGTTATCGGCCTGCTGCTCGTTGTTCTTTGGCGTCCCTGGCTCTGGCCCTAGTGCGGGCTCCTGAAGCGTCATCTCAATCGAGCTGCCGGCCAGGCCAAGTCCCAAAACCGTCTGGTGTCTCCACCCTGGTCGTGCCCCTTGTTTGTATTCTGTTTCGACATTCTTCAGGGGCCTGTCACGGAACCTCTCCGCATGCTATTGCTGTCCGAAGCGGTTTATTGCTGTTAAGACCAATGTCCCAAACACATCCATTTGTTTCCAAACACTGCTGCAACCACTTCCGCAGCCTTAGAACGAGCACAACGTTAGCTCACTCGAGCCACCACGCCTATAACATCGCCGTTCGACGGTTCGACGGCAACCATTCGTTGCTAGCTAGTATTTCCTATCGATACGAAACCTCCGACCCCTATTCCAACAGTGGTGGCAGTCTGTGCTTAGTCGCCGTATTGGTCATTGTCGAACCTGCGCAGTCGCGGCCTGTGAATCCCGCCACGTCCGGACTCTTCTTGGATTGTTTGGGGAGATAATAATAAGAGAGCCTGCGAGCATTCAGCTCGATTGGTAGTTGCGCGGCGCAACACCAACCGGCAGCGCAAGACTGCACGAAGATAAGGCGGCAGCTTGCGAGCTTGTGCCGAGCAAAATAAGGAACCGGGAGGGAGACGACCAACACGGTCTTTTCTTTGCCTGCACGGGTATCTCTTTAACCTTTTCAGCCAGAGAGAGAAAGAAAGCCCAGCCACAAAGCTCCCTCCCCCGTCTCTTTGCCACGGTAGACCCTCGCTACCTGTGACACAAAGGCCCTGGCTGCGTCTTTCATCATGCGAGCGGCCTTGGGCCAGCACTTGACCGTTTTTACGAGTTTCACATAGGTATCCCGCTGTTCTGTTACTATCGCCGCGGATCGCAACCATGTCCTCAGCAGACAAATCCAGACAATCGTCCGGGGGGCGATCTCTTTTTTCCAGAAGTAAGAACAAGGACAAAAGACCGACAGATGGCGACCACCTTGACGCCGCCAGCACTATCAGCTTCCGGACATCAAGGCACAAAAGAGATTCATCCTCCGTGTCTATTGATACGCCCACATCTCCCGACCCCGGACTCAACATGATGGCAGGAGTGATAACATCTATCCCCTACGATAATATGCCTTCCGGTTCACGATCCCCGATACCCGTCGATTATCTCCCCAGTTCCGAACAAGCGCCAGCACGTAGAGATCCCTTGCCTCACCAACTTAACAAAAGTGGCATGGATTTTCATCAATACCCCTCGGTCGACCCATCAAGCGCCAGACCGAGAGAATCTAACATGACCATGGCTTCTACTGGTCGACAAGCCCAGTATCAACAATGGGGTCCTGCTCGAGGGAGCGTTGCTAGCACAGTCAATGGCTCACATACCTCTCGATACGAATCGTACCTGGGCCCCAATGATGGCCGCAGCTCTGGCGAGAACCTAAGCTTATATTCAGGTAATGCTACCCACCGAGATGCTGGGGCTGTAACACGCTCATCGCAGATAGCATTACCAAGTGTCTCGTCGCAGAGTTCCTATGGCTCTCAGCCGTCGTATCGAGAATCCAATCGAGTCACCAAGTTTCCTGGCCCCTTTCTGACAGCACACGAGGGCTTTTACTTTCCGAAACCGGACGATGATAATGTTATTGAACAAATGTTCCTTCAGCTTATGCAGAAACGAGGATGGCACAACTTGCCTGAGCAAGCTCGACGGCAAATGATGGCTTACCCGCCGCAGAAGAAATGGACACTTCTTTATCAAGATCGCTTGACTGAGTGGCAAGGGGAACAAAAGAGAAGGCAAACAGCTCGGTCCAATCAGTATGCGGCACCGGATATAACGACCTACTCTGACGAAGAAGGCACACCAGAATGGTATGTGCGGAAGGTAATGGAAGATAAGCTAGACGCCAAGGGCCTCGGCAGTCTTGAAGTCAATTTGAGAACACAGCAGATAGGCTGGGTGAAGCGATTTGTCGAATGTCAGGGACAGGTTGCATTGGTCACACTGCTGCAAAAAATCAACCGCAAGACAGTGACCGGTCCCCCGCCGGATAATGCACGAGCAGAGAAGAACCTGGATAAGGGTTACGACATCATTAAGTGCTTAAAAGCTCTTATGAACAACAAGTTTGGCGCCGACGATGCTTTGATGCAGCAAAAAGTTCTTTTAGCCCTTGCTACCTGCCTCATATCAGCACGAATTACAACTAGGAAGCTCGTGAGCGAAATATTAACATTTCTATGTACTTGGGGTCGCGATGGCGAAGGCCACATCAAGGTTATTCAAGCTCTGGACGAGCTGAAGACTCAATCTGGCGAGAATGGCCGATTCGACGCTTGGATGCGCTTGGTAGAGGTAACAATTGATGGCCGTGGCAAAATGGGCAGCCTGGTTGGTGCTAGTGAGGAGGTACGAACTGGTGGTATTGGCATGGAGAATCTGCTCATGGAATATGCCGTCACCACCCTCATGCTCATCAATATGCTGGTAGATGCACCAGAGCATGACCTTCAGCTGCGAATACATATTCGAGCCCAGTTTACAGCATGCGGCATCAAACGAATATTGACAAAAATGGAAGGGTTCCAATATGAGCTCCTCGACAAGCAAATTGAAAGGTTTCGTACTAATGAAGCCATTGATTACGAAGATATGCTGGAGAGAGAAAATAGCAGTATCAAGGATAGCGTCGAAGGTGACGTTAAGGACCTCACTGATCCCGTTCAGATCGCCGACGCCATTCAGCAACGAATCCATGGAAGCAAAGCACAGGATTATTTTGTTTCAGCGCTGCAACACCTCATGCTCATCCGTGCTCAAGACGGGGAAGAGCGGTTGCGTATGTTTCAACTTGTCGACTCAATGCTGAGCTACGTGGCCATGGACCGGCGTTTGCCCAACATGGATCTTAAGCAAAGCCTCAACTTTACGGTCCAGAGTCTGCTAGACAAGCTGCATACTGACTCAGAGGCACGACAGGCGCAGGATGAGTCTCTCGAGTCACGACAGATAGCGGAGGCCGCAATGGCGGAGCGTGACGAAATGCGTGCCAGGCTTGAACTCGGAGCTGATGGACTTGTGAAGAAAATGCAGAAGCAACTTGACGAGCAAGCGCGATTTATTGAAGCCCAAAAAAGGCAAGCGGAGGGCCTGAAAGCTGAGCTGCACAATGTTCAAACTGTCCGTGCTAAAGAAGCTCAAAGAAACGAGCTAGAGACCCGAGAGTTGTATCTGATGTTGAGAGACGCACAAGACATCGCAGCGTCTAATGCCATCAAAGGAAAGCCCAGCAACAGCGACAATGACAATGGTAGCACCAATAACGCGGAAACCGCCGAGCAGATGCAGGGCATTTTGGACCGCGAGAGACTAATGGAGCGTCTCCAGAGGCAATTGGAGCGACAAAAGACACAGTACAAACTGGAAGGCCGTGTTTGGGGCGAGGCCGGCAGCCCATCCGACCGGCTGCGAGCCTTACGTGAAGAAATGGACGATGACAATCTGGAATCACCAGCTGGGAGCGGAACACCGCCTCGTGACCTTACTAACAGTGTTCTGGGCAGCGTGGGTCGCCAGACCAGAATTCCTCGCAAACCACTTGGCTCGGACAAAGGTGCTGAAGATGGTGTCATTGAAGAAAGTGAAGAAACAGAAGGCGAAGAAGGTGTCATTTACGAACGTCCTCGTATTGTTGAGATGAAGCGGCCGACCATCGACCCTAAGCAACAAGCTGGCCTGGTAAACGAAATAGGCTCCAAGGTCAAGAAATATGAGGGCAGCGACTCGGAAGATGCTGATGTCGACGCTACACAATCGCATCCCAGCTTGGAATCATCAACACCAAGAACCTCGGCAGATGATGAGGCACTAAAGACCGAATCTGCTGTAGCAGGTCCTCCTCCTCCCCCCCCTCCACCACCTCCGCCCATGCCGGGCCAGATTCCCGGTGCACCACCGCCTCCTCCGCCACCGCCTCCACCATCTCCACCACCTATGCCGGGTCAAATTCCCGGCGGGCCCCCCCCCCCCCCCCCCCCCGCCCCCCCCCGCCCCCCCACCTATGCCGGGTCAAATTCCCGGCGGTCCCCCTCCCCCCCCTCCCCCCCCCCCCCCCCCGCCTCCACCATCTCCACCACCTATGCCGGGTCAAATTCCCGGCGGTCCTCCTCCTCCTCCTCCTCCACCGCCGCCCATGCCTGGGTCTATCCCAGGATCAGCCTCGGCAGGCTCCATACCGCCGCCCCCACCCCCCCCTTTACCTGGAGCTATCCCTTCTGGCAATTACCTACCTCAGAAATCAACTTATACTGCTCCAAGTATTGGTCTCCCCGTGGCACGGCCCAAGAAGAAGCTCAAGGCTTTGCATTGGGAAAAGCTCGACACCCCCGAGACCAGTCACTGGGCTGCGCATGCTCCGTCAGCTGAGGAGCGAGAAGAGAAGTATAATGAGCTTAGCCGAAAGGGTATCTTGGACGAGGTTGAAAAGCTTTTTATGGCCAAAGAGATCAAGAAGTTGGGTGGTGGAATGGCCAAGAATAGTGACAAAAAGCAAATCATTTCTGCTGACCTGCGGAAGGCATACGGTAAGTGCTACATCATGGACATCATAGTTATTTTCCAGCTGCTAACACATCGAATATAGAAATCGCCTTTGCTAAGTTTTCACAACATTCTGTGGAGAAGATTGTTCAGATGATTATTCATTGTGACCCTCAAGTACTGGATAATCAGGTTGTCATGGAGTTCCTTCAAAAGGAGGACCTATGCAATATTTCCGACAATGTAGCGAAACAAATGGCGCCGTACAGCCGAGATCTAACTGGCCCTGATGCCACCAGCCAGAACCGCGAGCAAGATCCCTCGGAGCTCACAAGACAGGACCAAATTTACTTGCATACCGCGTTTGAGTTGCACCACTACTGGAAGAGCCGCATGAGGGCCTTGTGGCTAAGTAAAAATTTTGAATCAGACTACGAGGAGCTCAATGAAAGAATAAACCAGGTTGTGACAGTTTCAGAGAGCCTGCGGGACTCTGTATCGCTCATGAATGTCCTTGGTCTCATTCTCGACATTGGCAATTATATGAATGACGCTAACAAACAAGCGCGTGGTTTCAAGCTAAGCTCACTAGCACGGTTAGGCATGGTCAAGGATGACAAGAATGAATCCTCGCTGGCAGACCTGGTGGAGCGTATAGTTCGAAGTCAGTACCCCGAATGGGAGGGATTTGCCAACGACATCAGCGGTGTTGTGACGGCACAAAAGATCAATGTGGAACAGCTGCAGACGGATGCCAAGAAGTACATTGAGACCATTCGCAATGTGCAAATGTCCCTGGACTCAGGGAACCTCAGCGACCCCAAACAATTCCATCCTGAGGACCGCGTCAGCCAAATCGTGCAGCGATGCATGAAGGAAGCACGACGCAAGGCCGACCAAATGGAGCTCTATCTTGATGAAATGATTAAAACTTATAAGGACATTATGGTGTTTTATGGAGAGGATCCTACCGACGAAAACGCCCAACGAGAGTTCTTCGCCAAACTGGCCAACTTTTTGATGGAGTGGAAGAAATCCAAGGAGAAGAATATTCAGCTGGAAGAGATGAGGAGACGAAACGAAGCGTCCATGAAGCGTAAGCACGCTGTGCAAAAGGGAGGAGCTGCAGCAGCTCTGGGCGAAGGAAGCGCCTCACCAACCAGTACCGGCGCAATGGACTCGCTGCTTGAGAAGCTTCGAGCAGCGGCGCCACAAGCCCGGGACCAGAGAGATCGACGTCGTCGCGCGCGTCTCAAGGACAGACACCAAGTGCGAGTGGCTTCGGGCCAAAAGATTCCTGACCCGACTGAAGTACCCGACGCCGAGGTCGGTCTACAAAATATTGAAAAGGCAATTGACGAAGAGGGCAACCCAATTGTTAGCCCAGGACTGAGTTCGCCTAGAGAAGGAGATGAAGATGTTGCTGACCGAGCCGCTGCCTTGCTACAAGGTATGCGTGGCGACGGGGATGATGATGCCGCAAAGCGAGAGAGCCTACGACAATCGAGACGGCAAACAGCTGAGGATGAGCGTCGATTAAGAAGACGGAGGAGAGAGAAAGCAGGCGCTAGCCAAATAAGCGGGACTGCAGAGGAAGCTGCTGCTGCAGATAGCACCGCGGCTGGCGTACCAGAAGCGGTTGAAGAGGCGGAGAGGGAGCCGCCGGATGAAGGGCTTACGGAGGGAGCAAAGGTAGAAGCGGAGAACGAGTAGAGGGTCTGTAGACGGGAGAGCTGCATATAGCGTCCGTACGTAATGTTTATATTGGCATATTTTGCTATTCGACAAAGTATTTTAGCAAGTATATCACTGTGTAGAATGTCCGCCTTTCGCTAGTTCCACAATGGCAGCGCACGGAGGTGACGTGAGATGCAGAGTCATAATCTTTATTCATAAACCGATTTCCCATTCTAGCCCCAAACGCCATACATTTTTATGATACAATTTCGTATTGTGACCGTATGGGCCTTACCCATCATCACATCACCTACCCGGGCTTAAGGGTCTATTGAAACCTCCCTGCCGGTTCATGTATTGTCTATACTCCATCTTCTTCTCCTTCCTTACTGCTCCGGCACTATTGCCAGGTACCTTTTTGCCTTTTGTCGTGCCAAAACCACCAAATCCCATCATGGCTTGCATGGCAGCCATGTTGTCGTCGGCATCTGCCTCTCCGGGCTCTTCATCGTCTTCATTGGACATAGGGGTATCGTCTCGGGACCGGGACCGGTCGCGTGGTGGGGAACTGCGACGATGGCTAGAAGCAGGAGCTCGGAATGCTTTATCAGTGCGAGAGCGAGTTGGTAGAGTTGAAGAGGGTGGGGGACTGGTGCTGGTGGGTGAAGCTGATCTTCGACGAGCATGTGGTCGGTCTCTCTCTCGGTCATCGTAGCGGCGAGAATCTCTAGGGGACCTGTCCTGGCCGCTGCGGCCTCTTCCACGGCTGCCTCGATCTCTATAGCGCCTATCCGGGGATCTAGTACGGTCGTCGTAGCCACCCCTTCTCTCCCGAGATCTGGAACGTGGGTGCGGACGATCCGAGTCTCTTTCGCGATCGAAGCGGTCTCGGTCCCGTGGTCGCCGAGGGCGGTCTGATTCGTCCCACATTTGGCGGCTATCTGGGCGGCGGGGACGGCGAGAGTCGCTCATGTTGTGATGCAAAACCTTGGGCTAGGATGGGTTGTATTGACTGGCTGGTGGAGCGATGCCAGGTTGAAAGGACTCAAGTGCTGTGATGTCGAAAAAAGATGCTTGCTCTTGGTGTGGTGACGGAGGGGGCGTGGGATGGCGAATTACTGTCCCTGGATCCCCTGGGGTTTCCCCACACGCCCCAAGCTCCTTGTGCCACGGAGCTCAACTCACTAATGAAACCCGCCGTGCGACAGCAACGCCAATTCACTGGCGAACGTGGCCTTAGAGTGCTGTGTATGAACTTGACCTTGGCCATCTGATCGCAGGGCACTTCGGCCAGGAAGGCATCCATCGTCCATCTCGCTACTCACCCCATGGTTTGTTAACGGAGCGCGAGATTTCGACAACATGGCCAGATTCATCCAATCGTTGGCGGCTGTAGCGGCAATTCTTGCCACTGGAACATCTGCCACGGGTGATCTTTCGGTCCTGACTGGCGAGATTGGGCGCCAAAACAACGAGAGTTTGTTTTGGGGTCCGTACAAGCCCAATCTGTATTTTGGCGTCCGACCTAGACTGCCAGAGAGTTTGTGGACGGGATTGATGTGGGGGAGAATCGAAGAGTACAACGATGTCAAAGATGGCAAGGAATCACGTCCGATACCGTTGATAGTCGCGTGCTAACAAGATTTAGGCCTGAGATATACTTGCGAACAAGGCGAAGATATTCGCGGCTACGGATGGGACGAGTATGACGCACGAAGCGGTGGTATTCAAACCATTCATGACGAGGGCAACAAGATTGACATTACTACATCGTTTATTAAAATCCCTGGAGGAAGCCATGGTGGCAGCTGGGCTGTCAGGATCAAGGGGCAACTACGTGAGAATGCGCCGGCGGACCACAAGACGGTCGCATACTACTACATCGCACAAGAAGGGAAAGGCGAGCTCGTGGCCCAAGGTGAAGGTGACGAGCTCGGATATAAAGGCGATGCTACGTTCATCGGAAACTCCGAGACTTTGGGCGACTATAAGATTGTTGTCACCGAAGGCATTGGGAAATATCCTGCCGGGAACCATGAGATTTCCACTACTCGACCTGGAGATGTTACCTTGGTACACAGCGCTGAGGTTTCAGAGGATATCATTTGGCAGGCTGTGCCTTTGCTGTTCCAAAAGCTGCAACCCGCAGCCATGGCTGTACAGGAAGAATATGGCATGGAGAATCCACCGCCAGCATGGCAGGTTTATCGTATGGCACATCAGCCTGGAAAAGGCAACTCGCATATTCTCCAAAGAACGTACGAAGGCTCGTTTGAATTTGACGTCATTTTCTCATCTGCGTCTGCTGGCAAGGAACTGACCAAGGAGGATGTCACAAAGACTATTGCAGCGACATCTAGCGCCTTTGCGGATCGGTTTTCGAGCATCTTTGAGCTCAAGCCACCGTTCAAGGATGAGCAGTACCAGCGGTTTGGCAAGAGCATGTTCTCCAACCTTCTTGGTGGTGTGGGATACTTTTACGGAAAGCAGGTGATTGATCGATCGTATGCGCCCGAGTATGAAGAGGAGAGTGAGGGCTTCTGGGAGGAAACTCGTCAGGCTAGAGAACGTCAAGCACAGACACTCGAAGGGCCGTATGAACTGTTCACGAGTGTTCCGTCTCGGCCCTTCTTCCCTCGAGGCTTTCTTTGGGATGAAGGTTTTCACCTTGTTCCTATTGCCGATTGGGATATGGATTTGACACTCGAGGTGATCAAGAGCTGGTATAACACGATGGATGAGGATGGCTGGATTCCTCGAGAGCAGATCCTTGGACCCGAGGCTCGCACCAAGGTTCCTGAAGAGTTTCAGGTTCAATATCCGCACTACGCCAATCCGCCTACGCTCTTCCTCGTGATTGAGGATTTCATGGAGCGCCTCCGGAAGACTAACGGCACGCAGCCGTCGGGGAAGGAGAAGTTGGCGCAGGAAAGAAGAAACCCTCTGTACACGGCACATTTGGACAACATGGAGCTTGGCGAGGATTATCTCCGAAAGATGTATCCTCTCCTGAAGCGCCATTATGACTGGTTCCGCAAAACGCAGCGCGGCGACCTCAAGGGCTACGACCGGGAGGCGTATTCATCAAAAGAGGGCTACAGGTGGAGAGGAAGATCCGAGTCACACATCTTGACAAGCGGTCTCGACGACTATCCTCGCCCACAGCCGCCACACCCTGGTGAGCTGCATGTCGACCTCATGTCGTGGGTTGGCTTGATGACGAAGTCGCTGAAGAATATTGCCGAAGCCCTAGATATGAAGGAAGATGTGGCGGAGCTGGTCAAGAACCTGGATGCTATTGAACACAACCTCAACGACCTGCACTGGTCAGAAAAGGACGGATGCTTTTGCGACGCCACAGTGGATGATTTTGAGGAGCACCAACTTGTCTGCCACAAGGGTTATGTGTCGCTGTTTCCCTTCATGGTAGGACTGCTCAAGCCAAATGACCCGAAGCTCGGCAAGATTCTGGACCTGATCGCCGACGAGGAGCAACTCTGGAGTGCACACGGCATCCGCAGCCTCAGCAAACAGGATGAATTTTATGGAACAGGCGAGAATTATTGGCGCGGTCCGATCTGGATGCCCATGAACTACATGGTAGTGAAGCAGCTGCAGGTAAGCTTAATATGCCACATTTTAAACGATAGGGGCTATCCCTTCTTAGGCATCGAACCACGACGGGCTAACCGACTGTCACATTAGAGCATTGCAAAACAGGAGGGTCCGTACCGAAGCAAGGCACGAGACATGTACAACAAGCTCCGAAAGAACCTCGTGGACACAGTTTACAAGAGCTGGAGGGAGACGGGGTTTGCGTGGGAGCAGTATAACCCGGAAACGGGGGCTGGACAAAGAACGCAGCATTTCACAGGGTGGACGAGTCTAGTGGTGAAGATTATGGCAATGGATGATTTAAGCGGGCACGGCCGAGACGAGCTGTAGGCGACGACGACGCAGGAGCGCCAGGGGGGAAAAAAGAAGAAGAAAAAATCATATAGACAGTGAATCATCGGAGTTAACGGGCCAGAATAGACGATGGGTGACAATCGGATGATGAGTCGTAATGACGTTTTGTGGTTGACTATCTTGACAAATCAGCTTACCATTTTGACGCTTTGTGCAACCAGCCTCGACAAGCTTTGGCTGCCGAGTCAAAGAAGCCGCCTTTTTCCTTTTAAAATTTGGTGGAAAGCCAAAGAGGTGGCCAATCAGTGTTTGCCAGACGTCAGTTATGCCAGCATTGTCAACCGGTGTAATGAGTCTTTTGCTGCGCAATGGGACCAAAAAAAAAAATACAAGGCAGCACAACGCCATAAACGAGAGCAGCGGTGCCTGGCAAAGGCCACGTTTTGGTGCAACTCTGTCTGACACACATGAATTGGGGGACCGGGGGGGCCAATTTTTTTTTTTTTTTTTTTCGTCTTTTTTCGCTGTCCTTGTGCCAAGTGGAATACATGGATGGCCAAGAGGGAGGAGATTGTGTGTGCTGCTGCTCAGAGCATGTGTGCAATGCGGTAACGGCAGCGCTCTGC